GAACTAATGCTAAATTCTCTGAAACTCATCTCATTCACCTGTGAATTATCCTTCCTCAAAATCAAGGCTTGCTAGTGGTTACACTTTCTGCTGGGAATTTATTTCAGAGAATGTGATGCACCTGTAGTAGGTTATTGACCATCACCTAACACTGTAAATCTCCAAAGATCTGGAAGGTTAGTTTGGGTAAACATTTAAAAGACTGAATTAGCCCAGCCCTTTGGACCTGTAAAATAGGGAAATTAAACTTTCCCACTAGAATTCCAGCTCTCCACACAGCCAGTTGGGCCAGAAGAACCTTTCTTGCTTTATTTTGGCACTTTCACTTGCAGCCCCTGATGAAACCTGGAACAGCAGAGCCAGGTGACAATGCAAAATGACTAGAGTCAGTCCCCAGCCACGATATCTGAATCAGGGACGAAACTTTCCCAATATTCGGACCCAGGATTTGGTTTGGAGTTTGACTTTATAACTATGAAGAAAACAGATGTTGCCTAAAGCTTTTCTTATTGATCACTAATTTCATTTTCTTCATCTCCAAAGATGCCCATAACCTCGTATCTTTGTGGGTGAGGCTTTAGGGATACACTAACAAAAGGGTATTGTCACGTTGGTAGAAATAACATTGCTCCTACTGAGTGACTTACTCCTGTGGTATCTGCCATTAGCATGTCTAGTGTTGTCTTCATGCCTAGTGCTTTAAAATTTGAAATAGTTCTCACAGCACTGGCATGCCTGAAACTGGGGAAAAGAATAGAGGTGGGGAACTACCCAGGAGACTGCTTATTCAGGAGGTTGAACTGAGGTTTCCTAACTAGTCAAAGCATGTGTAGTCTGCCCAAACAAGAAAGACAAGTATAATGTCCCATTGCCCAAGTCATTTAACTATGAACCCTGATGCAGAATAATGAGCTACCTTAACCAATGACCCATTTAATTCCTGTACAGAGATATAGTGCATCATTGTTTGTTTATTGCTGCAGGTCTGTTGATATCATGGTTTGCAGATTCTAACACAAGATGACGCCAAGATTCTTAGGACCTAATCTGACCCAATTTACACCCATCTGGTGTGAATGCAGGACAGATGACTTTATTCAGCTACTCCTGATTTACGTTGATGTAACTTAGATCAGAGTCAGACACGTAGATGGGATCCAGATGCAAAGTTTGGGGTAGGAGCCTAGGTTTTGGTCAGTCCCTAGCCGCGTAGAGAGAAATTCCAATCTCTATATGAACTTCCCAGAGTTCGGGTTCAGGGTTTTGTTCTGGGCCCTGTTTTGAAATGATGTTCAAATCTAGTTCACTTTTTGTTGATGGGTTGGATGCTGTAGCTGCTTCTCTGCAGACTAAAGCGGCCTCCATTGTTGCCCAGTGGAAGGGGCACATCCTGGTGCCCTTCTTGTCTCTGCAAGAAACTGCTTGCTCTTTCTCCCAGCAGGGGAAGGGGTTAATGTCCTGTGGGTGGAGGTCCGGTACAGAGTGCCCATTGCACTTGCATGCATACCAAAGCAGTAACTTGCAGGAATGCTGCACAGCAGAACGTTAACGTCTTATGTTTATTTCAGTACTCTGGTGGGAACGGTGTGTTCCTCTGTAAGGAAAGTAACCATGCAAAATGTCGGATAAATAAGGAGCGTTATTTGATTGGCATGGATGGAAATGGAAGGTATCTCTGACCCTGATGCCATCATCTATTTGGGCACAAAGCATGGCAAGGGGCCAGGTCAGTTAACTGGATGGAGCAGTTACATTTGTACCCTTTCCTCCGAGGTAGGGCTCAAACCTCCTCCCTGGTGCTTGCTACCTGCAGGGGCTGCTCCCTTCTCTTTGCGGGGGTTGGGTCCTGGGTGCAATTGTTTTTGTGACACCTGGTGCCTCCACCCAAGGTGATTCCTCACTGTGCTCAAGTCACAATATTGCTACCACTGCTGGCAAGGAGTATAAAACGCAGCACACTGGAAACAGTAAAGTACCTCAACACAAACCCAGCAAAGAAATGATATTCCCCAAAATAACAACATAACAAAGAGGGACTTTATTGGGAGCAGGAAGATGGGATCTGGGGAAGGAAAAGGTTAGAGTTAACGAAGAATACTAAACATCAACACATTTCCCACCTCCCAACACTCCCAGCTCTTCCCAACCCCCAGCTCCCTCCCTGGCACCTCCTCAAGTGGATGGTACCCAGAGGCTGAGTCCGGAGGCGAGTGCTGCAGTGCTTCAAATGTTGGCTGGCTGAAACAAAAAGAAAAGGGGTCCTCTAACAGTGTCTTCGCCTGGGTGGGACAGGGTCCTCTCCTGGCTCCCTGGTCTTCAGTCCTGTGGGGGTCTCACCTGGCTCTTGGTAGCCAGTGCCGGCTTGGATCTCTGCCAGTCTGGACGGTCGTCTCTGCGGAGTTGTCACCGCCTGGTCCGTGCGACTTTCCTGCTGCAGTTCAAAGACCCCTTTGTGGCACTGGGGAGGGGGAGTTAACCAGAGGCTCCCTGGGCTGTTTGGCTTCTCTCTCAGCTCCCAGACCCAACGCTGAAACTAAACCTAGAGTCTGTGTCTCTGAGTCAGGCTGCATCCTTTCATTGAGGGCTGAGCAGCCCTGGCTCATCTTTTACCCATATTCCCCCCATGCAGAAGCCTATTGGCCTCAGCAGGAGTTTCTAATTCCTCTCTCCCTGCCCCTGTCTCCAAGCATATTGGGAAATGGTGTCAGAGCACTCCGGTAGCCATTATTGTCAGGATCCAGAGGGTAGGACCCCCTTAGTGGCTCAGTCCAGCATTCTAGGAGCTGGCAAACTCCAAGAGTGGGTTACACCTGCATAATCAAAACAGTCAGGCAGGTGTGATATGTCCCCTATTTAAACTAATAATTATATTAGCTAGTGTTAAGCGAAACCTCCCCATGTTCAAAGCAACATACAGGCATTAACTACCGTATATACTCATTCATTAGCCCGTTCATTTATAAGCCGACCCCCCAAGATGGTTAGGTAAAAATAGCAAAAACTGTATGACCATTTCATAAGCCGACCCTATATTTCAGGGGTTGGCAAACTTTGGCTCCTGGCCCATCGGGGTAAGCCGCTGGCGGGTCGAGAAATGTTGTTTACTTGGAGCGTCTGCAGGCCTGGAGCCCCTCAGCTCCCTGTGGTCATGGTTTGCCGTTCCCAGCCACTGGGAGCTGCGGGAATTGGCTGGGAATGGCGAACCGCGGCCACAGGGAGCTGAGGGGCTCCATGCCTGCAGACGCTCCAGGTAAACAAAATGACAATGTATTAGATATTCAATTCAATGATTCCATAGAGTTCAAAATCATTGAATGTTGGTGTAGACCCCTTTTATAAGCCGACCCCCGCTCTTTGATGCGTCACTTTTTTACCAAAAATATTCGGCTTATGAACGAGTATATACGGTAATTAATCCTCCAAAAAACCCTTTGAGTGAGGGGTTGTTATTCCCTTTGCATAGGCGGGATACCTTTCAACTTAGTGCTTATGGGAAGGGTGCGCTCAATTGCTCCGGACATGATGGTCCCATCTTTATCCACAGAAGAGATGTAACTTGAGCACAAATGTCTCCATCTGCTCTGCCAATGTACCTCTATCATGAGCCAGAGAAACCACTTCTAGAGCCAGCTGATAGCTCACTCTCTGTGAGTTACACAGCTCTTAGTTCCTCTGCCAAAAAGGAAGCCAGCTAGTGTTATTGATGGTGCTTTCATGTGGATATCGGTCTACTAGGAACTGTACTCAAGTCACCACATCATTTAGCTGTAGGACGGTAAGGACTTTTCACCACTACCGTCACAGGCCAAGGTTAGATCAGTGACCTCTGGCGGTATTCCAGTGGAAATCTGAGTAAAGGGTGCATGCGCAGGATCGTTTCCCCTGGACTTTAAGGTCATCTGAAGAACTTTAAAAAGTGGAAAGTAGAGAGCCATGCAAACTGCAGTCCCCACAGGAGAGCTTATCTGATTTCTCGTGCCGAGCTGTGTTCTAGAACGACGTGGTGTTACAGTGAAATATACAAGGGGACATGTACTGATGACTGGCCAAACTGCTGTTGCCCAGGGTTGCCTCTACAGTTTGTTGCTTAGGGTGACCAGATAGCAAGTGTGAAAAATCGGGATGAGGATGGGGGGTAATAGGAGCCTATATAAGAAAAAGCCCCAAATATCGGGACTGTCCCTATAAAATCGGGACATCTGGTCACCCTATTGTTGCTACAAAGGGTGGGTTGGGAAATCCTTATTTGCTTTAAGATTTTGTACGTAGGTGGTTCCCTAGAATATTGTTCACTGGATGTTGGGTGTTTGTCTTGGTTTTTATATAACTCTGCGTGAAACATGCCTATTTTTTTGCTTTATCTCAATTGAAACGCTATAGCTTCTCCTGTCCATCCGGTCAAGATGTTCAAAAGGGATTAGATAATGGGTGCTTCCATTTTTGGGGTTTCCAACTTGAAACCTTAAAGGGGGCCTGATTTTCAAGGGTTGGGGGCTTTCTGAAAATCAGCCCTCTCAGGTTGGGCATCCAAAAACGGAGGTATGTGAAGTGACAAGTCACTTTTGAAAATGTTGGCCTCCAGGTTTCCTCCAGGGCCCTAAGCAGTAGTGGAACTTCACCCTCGATGCAGTTCCAGCTTGATCTGGTGCAAATGAATCCCAAATCTAAGCAGCTTAAGTAGAGTGTAGATGTACGTACGTTTATCTGTGTGTGTGTATGTTTCATTATCCAGTCGATCTTATTGGGGTGCACATTGTCATTGTTTGTTGGTTGGCTGTCCCCTAGTATTTTAGGCCCAAGTTCTGGCTGGTTCTGAGTGCTGTCAAATCCCTTGTGCTTCACTGAAGGCGCTCAGGACCTTGCAGCAGGTGTGCAGTGCTGTGCTGGATTGGACCCATCTTGGGGAAGCCCAGTTGTGCTCTGTTTCAGTCAGTCCTACAGTTGCACTTTGACACATGCGTGAGTGCTGACTTCCTTTTTCTTCTCTCTTCTTTCAACAGTTGCGGCTTTGATCACTTCTGAGCTCCTTCCAGTGTCCGGACTATTGGGACTTTAAATTTTACAGACAGTTACCATTCAGTTCCTGGGGTTCCCCCCTCTCCCCCCTTTTCTCCTCATCACCTTCCCCTTCCCCCTTTCCCTCTTATAAAACTCCAGTGCATTGTGAGATTGCCATGGAGGCAAGGGAGACCCTAGGCAGCTCCCGGCAAAGGGGAGGTGAGGCGGATTTCCTGCCGGCCACGGTTTCCTCTGCGAAGCCTCCACCTGCTTCTAGCTGCACGGGGGAGACCATGTTGCCTGCTTCAGGCTCCGGGAAAGGGATCCCAGTGAGCGGAGAACGACTGGAGCCAGAAGAAGAGGATGAATTGGGTTCTGGGAGAGATGTGGATTCCACTTCCAATGCAGACAGCGAGAAATGGGTGGCAGGAGATGGCCTGGAGGAGCAGGAGTTTTCAATCAAGGAGGCTAACTTTACAGAGGGGAGCCTGAAGCTGAAAATCCAGACCACTAAGAGAGCCAAGAAGCCCCCTAAAAACCTGGAGAACTATATCTGCCCACCTGAGATCAAAATCACCATCAAGCAGTCTGGCGAGCAGAAACTCTCCCGAGGTGGGAAAAATAGCAAAGCAGCTAAAGAGGAGGACAGAGGGCACTCCAAAAAGAAGGTAAGGACACCAGTGCTTTCAAGTGGCCTCTTATTTATTTTTCCTCTTTATTAGCTGTTCACAGCTGATGAACTGAGCTGTTTCCCGCCTCTCCCTGGCCCCCTTTGCCTGTTTTTACACAAGACTGTGCTGCATGGACTGAGTGAGATAATCTGATCAGACATTCTGAACAATGAGGACCAAATTCTGCCCACGGGTGCATGCATGCAACTCCCACTAGGCCATGCCCCCAGCCCTCTTGGGAAGGTGTTGGGAGCCAGCCGCATGCCTCTGAGGGCAGGATTTGGCCCTGGGTATTGGACTCTGCTTTTGCAGAAATAATAAGAACCAGCCCTGTTACCAAAACAGATTTGGAACACAGTGGGTTTTCCTGTTCCTGCTCGCTGTATGGGGGGACCATCTGCTTTGCTGGGAACTCCTGGGAGTGGGACTAACCTGGGTAACCTGCACCTCTGTGCTGTGGTCGGTTGCCTGAGTTCACGCAGCCCGGAACCAGTTGCGCTTCTAAAGGTCACGGAGAGGCTAGACTAATCAGCTGAGAACAAAAGGTTTCCGATGTGTGTGTGTGTGTGTGTGTGTGTGTGTATACAAGAAATAACCTTCACCCAATTTGCCAAGCTCTGCTTGGTTAACACGGAGCTGATACAAACCAGGGACAGTCCAGCAGTCCCATGTACAATATGAAGATGATCTTGAATTGTCCTTTATAATAGCCAGTGCTGAGGAGGTCAAAATCCTGATCCTTCAAAGGCCTTTTCTGATTTGTATGTAGTTGAGAATTAAGATTATTAATTAAATGACTGATAAACGATGACCCCCATTTCTAACCGCTACGTGTCTGAGCACAACTTTGTTTTGTAAGCTTTTGATCGCATTGTCAAATACAGGTATGTGTGCAGAGAACAAATGCGCTCGTACCTATATACGGGGCTAATGGCTCCATTACTCTTGATTACAGCATTGTGCGGGCTGTAATCAACATTACAGTTATGGTTGAGAAGATACCTCCATTATTAGCCCCATTTTCTTCCAGGCGCTTATCATAGTCTTGAAGTACCCTTTGGGCTGAGATTTCTTATTCTTTACATTGGGTGGAAATGCATGATCCTGTGCTGGGTTAGCCAAAGTGAATCTTAAGGAGTGTGAACTCATGAGGACTGAAAGCAAGGAGAATTTTTCTCTGGATCCCAGTGAATAACATACTGCATGTGGGTGAAATACGTTACTTTTAACTCAGTGAAGTGATTTCTTTGGACCATTTATCCACTATGATGCGGATTTCCAGATATCTGGATATCCACTAAAGTAAAGTAAATAAATGCTTAGGCCCAGATACTAATATTCTTACTCGCACTGAGTAACAACCTACTCCACAAGAAGTCCTGTTGATTTCAATGGGAGTGTTTGTTGTGTGAAATAGAAACCAACATTAATAACGGTATCACAATCTGGCTGTTAATGATTGTGTGTCCAAACAAACGCATATGATTGTGGAACCATACTGTTAAGAAGACACACTGACTATAGTGACGTATATGGATCAAGAAGAACTTCCAGGGTTTTTATTGGAAATCAGGGCCAAATTAAAGATACTAGCATCATAGTGTGATTAGCTGCCTGCATGGCCATCCGACTAAAGTGGTTTTTTTTTTTTTTTTTTTTTAAGTCAACAAACAATAGTTGTGGAAGTGACATGCAAAACGCCTACAGGACTGCAACTTTAAGGATGAGATTTGACTCATGCAAAGGTCAGGAGATTCAAAGATATGGATCTCAGCAGTTTTTTTGCGGGTGTGTGGGCAGAGTATGTGACTTTGAAGTCCGTGACACCAAGCATTTCTGTAGCACATAGATGCTTCCATCAGGGATCGGAGCCCCTTTGTGCTAGGCACTGAACACCCATATAACAAAAAGACTGTAAGCTCTTTGGGGCAGGGTAATCAAAATATATAGCAAGAGACAACAGGTGGATACAATCCACAGATAGGGAGCACAAGATAAGGGTGAGGTGATTACGATTAGCATAATAAATGGGGCTCACAGTGCACCAGCTGCCTAACCGTTGTCCAGTTGGAGTTTCCACGAAGAAGCGTGGAGAGGGATTTAAAAGAGGACAATGTGGTAGCTTTGATGATTTTCACAGCCAAATGCCCCTGCCCCAGAAGTGCTAGCAGTCTGCAGGGCTTGATCTTGAAACCATGAAGCCAATAGGATTACTCACGTGAGTAAGTGCTGCTCACCAACCAGCTTGCAGAATCAGGCCCTAAATGAAGGCAAGTTGTAACAAGAGACGATGACAGACCTTGCTCGGGTCAGGTAAGGAGAAGGGAGGTCAAAGGGTGCAACGGTAAAATCATGTGGTTGCTGAATGGCTGATGTGCGCGTCATGAGGGTTACACAGAATTTTTTTGTGAAAATACAGTTAATTTGAGGTTAGGAGGAAACTGCAAGTTGAAACTTGACTTGAACCGGAGCTGAGGCTTTCTTGCCCTTCTGTGGGTTTTTCCCATGTAGAGGAGTATGCATCTCATATAGGGAGTTTTTGCATTGGCTTACAGAAGTACTGCCAGCTTTGTTTATGTGTGAGAAAGAGACTGTACTATTTAAACCAGCCAGGGATCTGTGGTGCTTTAGTGGTATTTATTCCTACAGTTATACTGGCTTCATCTCTTGTTGCTTTAGCAAAAGCAAACTCAACAGATCAACTGGGGAGAACAGTAGCAATCAGGAACAATATAGTGAAGCCTGTGGGCCAAATTTTCTGCAGGCATAACTCCATTGGTCTCAGTGGAGATGTTGGCCCACTATATTTTTTTCCTTGGGATTGAGAGCAGTGACACTATTCCAGTTTATCACCCAGTTCCGTATTCAGGGCTACACACTACTTTGAACTCCCGGTGAGGCAGGTTCGTGGATCAAGGGCTGTACATAGCTAGGCTTGGTGGAATTCAATTTTTATTGTTTTTATAATTTTGACAGATAATATCAATGTTTATTTTTCAGCATTTTTTCCCCGTTTTGATCTACTGAAATGTTCACAGTTGTGGGAAATTATTTAACGCCGGCATTACAACGCGTTCTATACAGTTTAAGGCAGCACTCTACTAGTTCTCAAGCAGCATTTTTCTTACTTTGCCTATCTGAGAATGTCGATTATTATCGATTATTATTTTTTTTGTTGGTTTGTACGTGTGTGGTGTAATTGACGTGTATCTATATCTACCGATAAAAATCAAACCCTTCTAAGGTTATCCATTGCCCTTAATGTGAACGACAGTGGTGTAAATGGCTGTTCTACACCTAGAGGACTAGTGCTCGAATTTATTTTTCCCCCCAAGGAGGAGCTAACTCTATTAGGACTTGAAAAATCACTTAGGTTTGTTGCATAATAATTTAAACCACAGCTACAGTTAGTCCCCAGTGCTTACAAATACCTCTTCAGCATGCTTGCAGGAGTTTCAATACACATAGCACAGAGGGCAAGTAATGAAAACATGGAAGCAATTTAAGTAACAGCATGTGGGTACACAAAGGAGTGGTGATGCCAGTAATGCAAAAGGGCTGCGAACTGGGGCGATAGTGTTTATTCAGTGGCCACTTAGGGAGGGAGTTATGCCGATTTCTTAGTCGTATAGTGTTCTTCTGTTTATAAGGCAGTATGGGCTAATGCATCAGTTCTCAGACTGTGGTCCATGGACCACTGGTGCTTGGTGGAATGGAGTCTGTGGAGATCTGTCTGTTCACCAGGGGAGGGAGAGGTGTGCTCCAGTCTTTGTTTCCAGCAGCTACATTACATGAAAAGAAGCTAGACATACACTAACTACTTTCCTCCTGTTGCTTTTCCATGTGAACAATCACTGCAGTTGCCCCGGGGATGTTATGTGATCATGAATGAGAGTGGAGGGAATCCAGGAGACGATTTTATTGGGTGTGGTTCCCATTATGAAAAAGAATTCGCAAATCCTTGGCCTAATGGTTTGAGACTTAGGCTGTAATCCAGGAATGTCTTCCTTTCGGTCCTAGCTCTGCCAAGTTTCCCCCCCCCCGTAAACGGAGGCTGATGGTAGTTGCTTGCCCCTTTTGCCGGGCTCCTATAAAGACGGATTCCATTTTGGTTAGTATTCGTACAGCAATTTGTAAAATTGCTCTGTAAATACTTAGTAGTATTTCAGCTGTTCTTCACACTGGGTTGGAGTGGGCTGAGCCATTGGTGTTTACAACACCCACTGTTCTGTATCTGCAGAGGACTTCCTAACTGTCACAGGTGGCTGAGGACGATCTCCCTTTAAAAGAACTAGCCGCCTGGTGACTGTCACAGACCGGTTGAAAGGGAGATGGGTCTCAGCCCACTTGTGACTCTAAGGTAGATTCTGATTAAGAAAACACAACATAAGCCACAACTCCACTACCTTGCAAGTGCCGAATTTGCTGCACATGCCTTCACTTCCACACCTGCAGCGGGGCCATTGCAAGTCTGCATCTTTTAGTCAGTCCTAGCGCATTTTCCCTTTGGAAGTGGGCAAACAAACTGTCAGCTTTGATGGGTACTAAAAGCATGGCACCACATGCTAAGAAGCAATCCATCAACATTCCAGGCCTGTCTCGCAGGGTTTAATAAGCCCCAGATGAGAAGTAGTTCTGTGGGTTTTTTTTCTTTCTTCGTTTGCTGCCCTCTGTATTTTCCTATTGCTGTAAACACTTGATTTTTGTTGTTGTTGTGTTACTTAGTGTGCCAAACTTCCATTCAAGTTCCCCTCATATGCATAATTCACTGCCTCGGGGCGTGAAAACTCCTTTTTTTATGCTTAGGAAGGGTGACTCAATTTATCAGTGAGATATAAGCAGTGGCAGTAAAAAATTTCTTGTGTGCATTCATAGGAAGCTCTGCTCCCCGGATTCTCTCATATATACATCTTGATTTTAAATCAAGAGTGGCTGTCTTTATCAGGAAGTTCCTATCAAGTGCCCCGTTCTCCTGAATTTCCATTTGCATGTTTTCC